AACTTCATTAACTCATTTTTTTTATACAATTAGTACCAATCAATGAAAAACTATTAATATATATATTTGTGATGACCTCCTTTTATAAACATACAATTTATAACATTATTGTTTTTATTATAATACCTTGAATTAATTTTGATTTCAGTTACACCAACTCGCGGTATGTCGGCCCGCCTGAAGCCATTTGAAGGTTGTTTTCGTATGAGATACACAACAAAAGCCACACAATCGTAATACTTCCGGTCCACCTGGAAGACAATCAGACCTTGTACTTTGCTCCCGGACGTGCTGAAGAACGGTTAGACGATGATAACCAACGCCGTACTAAACTAACAGAGTTTTTCAGACTGAACACAAACAGCGAGGTGGCAAGGCAGTACCTGTACCAAGAGATACAGCTACATTACAGTTGGCACCAATCTAGCAGGACATGGTCTAAACGTAGAAATCAAATGGCCAATGAGAGTTTGGCTCGGATGTATGTCGTCAGCCCAATGGATCAGCACCGTTTCCACCTGCACCGATACTTCTGCACCGGAGAGGCCCACGGTCTTTCCGAGACATAAGAACGGTCGACGGGATAGTGCATGAGACATACGGGGCTGCGGCAATTGTACTGGGACTCATAGAAGACGACGAAGCGTGGCATGCGTGCATGCAAGAGTCTGCGACGTTGGACACTCCCGGCCAACTACGGTATCTCTTCGTCACGATACTGGTGCACTGCCAGGCTACGGAACCGCTGAGGTTGTACACGAGCAATGAGGACAGCATGATGGAAGACTTCAATCGGCGTTGGCAAGACGTTGACCGTGCGAGGGCATCGACTATGAAGACCATTGGAGACCTTCTGCGGGTACACGGAAAAACGCTCCACGACTACAATTTGCCCATCCCGGACGACCGTCTACTGGAACCGGAACTGGACAATCAACTGTTCCACGCAATAGACGTGATAGCACGGTGGGCACCACAAGTGGAGGCCCTGAACGCCCAACAGCGAACAGTGTTTGACCGCATCATGGTGGCTGTCGATGACAACCGGGACGTGGCAAAAACATTCTACGTCGATGGACCCGGAGGCACCGGAAAAACAACGCTTTACGGATGCCTAAAATGGGCACTTCAAAACCAACAACAACCACGGGAGGTATTGTGCGTGGATGGCGGCATGACAGTGCACTCGATTGCAGTGGATTGCCGTTTGGTACGCTGACCGACGACGATACATCAAACATCTCCTTGCAATCCATGCGTGCACAGAGGATACGTGATGCGGCGCTCATTGTCTGGGACGAATCGCCAATGTCTCCGGGAACACAGCTAACGGTGGTCGATCGCTTACTCAAGGACATCATGGGAAAACAAACAACGCTGTTCGGGGGCAAACCGGTCCTATTCGCGGGTGACTTCCGACAGATATTGCCCGTCGTCCTCAGGGGGACTAGAAGCGCCATCGTCTTGGCGTCAATCAAACAAAACACTTTGTGGAGGAACACTTAGAAGTTTGAACTGACTCAAAACATGCGAGCCGGCAACGACGCGGACTTCGCGGATTGGTTGCTGAAGCTCGGCAACGGAAAACTGCCCGTGGTCGATGGTATTGAGGACACGGTCGAAATCCCCAGGGAAATGGTATGTGATATTAATGAATTAGTTGATTTTGTTTATCCATAGCAAATGTCGTTGGCTAACGTCTACAATTTTGCTCGGATAATTATTCTTTATCCCAAGAACGAGGAATGCCGTCAACTCAATCGTCAAGTGCTCCTACGAGTTGTGGGGGCCGAATGGACCTACTACAGCATAGACACTGTGATGGCCGACGACCCGGACGAGGTCGCCAACTATCCCACTGAGTTTCTCAACTCTCTGGAAATAAACGGCCTCCCGCCTCCCGTACGCATTGACCCTCAAGGTCGGTGCCATAGTCATGTTACTAAGGAATCTCGATTCAAGTAGACAACTGTGCAACGGTACGAGGCTGGTAATCACCGAACTGCGGCGATACAACTTCAAGGCGAGGATGTTGTCCGGTAGCGGCGACGCACCGGACGACGTAGTCATACCTGCTATCCCGGTCACTTCAGGCAGTGAGGATGATCTGCCATTCCAATTGAAGCGACTACAGTTTCCGGTACGGTTGTCGTTCGCGATGACCATCAATAAATCCCAGGGTCGAACGTTTGACGGGGTGGGTTTACATCTGCCGTTGCTCGTGTTCACTCACGGACAATTGTACGTTGCGTTTTCACGAGTGAGAAGCGCTCTATCCGTCAAATTCGGTATGTACGCTGACAGCCACGGTCGGTTTGTCACAAAGAACATTGTGTACATGGAAGTATTACCTCTCGGGGTATAGTCTCGGTGAATTGTCAACAAATAAAATATATCATCAATCTCCAAATTAAATATTTTTTTGTTCACTTTAGTTTTCTCTTCAATAATGAAATATTTTTTTTGAGACTTACTAACCTGAGACTACAGACATACTTACATACAACATTTTTATGTTGTACCGTCATAGATCCATGTGATCCACCGGGGGTAATTGGCCATTGAAGTACCCTAATCCTTAGGGATCCGTATATCTGGGTACTTCATGAACAGTTGAGTGATTGACTGTTCACTGTGGAGAGAACGTACGAGAACTTCCACGTGGTTCTCTCTGGATGCGAATCTGCTGCTAAGCGGGTTCGTAACTAGTGTCGAACGGGTTTTTTTAAATTTTAATAATATAACTTTACTGTATGAATATTTTTACTACTGAATTTTTGTACCATTATATTATGTCATGGTACCTTCATCGTTGTATTTTAACTATTGTATTTTTACCTAATTAATTGCTTATTTTAAAAAAAGTATAATGTCATGTACATAATTGTAATTTGACTATTGCATTTCTTACTAATTAAATGTCTGTATATAAAAAAATATAGTATAATGTGTATAACTGTAATTGAACTATTAAATTGTTTATATAGAAAAAATATAATGTTAAGTACATAAGTGTAATTTTCTTGTTGAATTGCTTATATAACAAATAATTTGTAATTTAACTATTAAATTGTTCATTTAACAAAAAATATAATGTTATGTACATATTGTAATTTAACTATTCCATTTTTTAATAATTACATGTCTGTATGTATGCAAATATATTAGAATGTGTATTATTGCGATTTAACTATTCAATTGTTTATATAGAACAAGTATAATGTTATGTACCTACATCATTGTAACTTTTTAACTAATTATTCTAAACAAGGTTTTATGTATTCATAACGGTTTTACAATCACTGTCAATTCATTTGTTTGTTTGTACAAAATATATTTTATCATTGTAGGTACTATTTCAACTATGTAACTAACACTCGACTTTCTGTTTAAAATATTGTTTACCTACTGTTATTGATTCAATATATTATACATATCATAATAAATCAAACTGTTCAATTACGCACACAATTTGCTAAAGTAAATAAATAATTTTAATAGTATCAATGACATACTGCAGGTTAGTTTAAGTTAAATTATACTTTTAATATACTTTTATTAAAAACGATGGTACCTATGTATACTAAACATATTATATTTTTTAACAAAACAACAAAAATGGCAATGTACCATATTCAAATGGATTTTGATATTGACATCCCTATGATTAATTTTGCTAATTACATGCACTAAATAGCATTGATCGTAAATTTATTTTCTTGGAATTAATTCGGTACTGTAACGTATGTTACATCATTACGTTTATTTTATAAGCATAATAATATGCACATTATTCGTATTATGCGCAGACTATAATAATATATTAAGCCCCTACGGTTTAGGTGACACATATATATTTTATGATTGTAAGGCTCCGGCCAATATCCCTATGTAAGAGAATGGCAGTTCTCCGCGAGTCCATCACGTGCACCTGAACTCCGTACAATCCTACATTTTTGGTAACTTTGTTCGTAAATTGTATCTAAGTTATAATAAATAATTTGTTTGTATTAATAATAATTTAGATCAATCGTTATTTATTTGTAAAATTAAGATCCTAATACCATTCGTGCTCCCGAGCTACGGTAAAAATATATTCAAAAGAATTAATTTCTTCCCTGAATATCTTATATTTCACGGGTCATCCCCGACCACGTTACATATTGGTGGAGGCGCCGGAGCTCTTAAGTAGTTGAAGTTACAGATATTTACGATTGGTTTAGATTTTTATTTTGTTATTAGTTATTAAGTTTAGTTAATTGAAGAGTAGGAAAATAGTAAAATTAAAGTGTAGCCGTCATAGGCGTAAACTGGGGGGGGGGGGCAAGGGGGGGCCACTGCCCCCCTAGAAAAAATTAGGAGGGGCAATGCCCCCTTCAATATTTTACATACCTTCTTCTTTCATAAATACAAAAACAACTGATTATTACTATTACTATACAGTATTTTTTTAAATCTCAATTTTCAATTTTAGTTTATCTACATTAAGTATGTTAATGAATAATTTTACATAGTAATGCGTTGCGACTCATAACCGTAGACACTCGGTCAGTATAGTTGTTCCACAGATTATATAGGTGTATCATGTATAATCTTATATTATAAAATATATTATAATATATTAATATGTAGTGGTTCGGTGAGTATAGCTCATAGAAAAGAGATTAAACAACACAAGCAGTGTTACCTCCAAAGGGAATTATGTGGTGGAGGTCGACTATATGTTGTTGATATTGTACATTTATAGGCGCCTCTTCAAAAAGAAACTCAGTATTTGAGAAAGTTCAAAAAGAGTTAAATGTGTCAAATAGTACTCTTAAATCACTCAGTGATACGAGATGGAGTTGTCGAATTGAATCTATTCGTTCTGTTTTAACAAATTTTAATTCCATTATTTCTACCTTAGAACATATAAACGAAACAGACTCCATTCATGGATCTGATGCAAGTTCATTACTAAAAATATTCAAGATTTTGAATTTATTTTCTGTTTGAAATTAATGAAACAAGTTCTTCAACTAACTAATAGTTTGTCAATACATTTTCAAAAAAAAAATGCTAATTACTCAAGTGTTGGAATTTTAACAAATGCTACTTTATTGGAACTAGAATCACTTCGAAATGATGATAGTTATAAACTTTTTTGGACTAAAACTGAACAGTTTGCTACTAAAGAGGATATTAGATTGCCAGATATTCCTAGAAAAAGAAAAATTCCCTCTAGATTTGGAGGTGGTGAAGCTACAACAATAAACAATATATCATCTTATTTCAAAGTCAGTATTTATTTTCCCGTTTTAGATATTATAATCAATGACATAAAAACCAAATTTGAGGAAAACAATATCACAATACTTAATGCTCTTCAATGTTGTTTGAGCAACAAAAACTGCTCTGATGAAAATATCTTGGAAGTTTGTAACACATATGATATTATAATAGATGATTTTAAGGCAGAGTTAAAGTTATTTAGTAAAATGTGTTTATCAAGTGACATTCCTGAAAATTTTGAAAATCGTCTGAATTTTTTCTTGTCCAAGGACTTAATAGGCTCGTTTGAAAATATGTATAAGATTTTTAAAATATATTTATCGATTCCCATGAGTTCTGCTTCTAGTGAGCGTTCTTTTTCATCTTTACGTCGTCTCAAGACATTTACTAGAAATACTATAGGTCAAGAAAGACTATCTAACATAGCTATTTTAAATATAGAAAATATGTATCCAATGAATTTTGACAAAATTATTGATCAGTTTAGTGCAGAATCAACCCAAAGAGGTAGAAGACTACAATTAATATAAATTTGTCATTTTATTAAGTATAAAGTTAATTGTATACACCTATTTGCTTTTATATAGTCAGTTTTTTGTTAAGAAGTTATATAATATTAAAGTTTTCAATATTTTTAATGAATTTAAGTTTATTTATTTATTATTGATTTATTTCTTACTAGCTAATAGCAATCTTCTACTAATATACAATAAAAGATAATGTTAACGTATAACTGTATAAGTAATTAAAGATAAGTAATATAACAATAATCAATAATATATTGATTATATGTAACCACTAAATGGATGAAATAATATATTTGCCCCCCCTAATAAATTTCCAAGTTACGCCCATGGTAGCCGTGTTAAGAATAATTGAGGTTTTTTTTTTATTATTTAAGAGGATGTCAGCGCACTATTAGTTTTCTCTCTCTAGCCCACGCGCATCATAGACAAAAAGTATGAACGCAGAATCATTTTTTCTATGTTTTAAGTAATCTTAGAGTAAAATTACCTATTACAAAAAAGATAGAGAATAATATTTTTGAGGGAATGTCATATCGATTTTATATTTTATTGTTATTTGACTTTGTATTCGACTTTCAAAATAAACAAAAAAAGTTGTACATTAAAATGATGTTTAAATTGTTTTGAGACAATATTTAAACAAATCGATATGACATTCCCTCAAAAATATTATTCTCTATCTTTTTTGTAATGGGTGATTTTACTCTAAGATTACTTAAAAACATAGAAAAAATGTTTCTGCGTAAATGTGTTTTGTCTATGTTGCGCGTGGGTCAGAGAGAGAAAACAAATAGTGCGCTGACATCCTCTTAAGATGATGATATACATGATATATATTAAGTATTAAGAATAAGAGTAAAAGAATCGAAAGAATTACGGGATTAGAAAATTTATGTATAGGTACCTAATAATTTTAATTTAAATTAAATTTTTTTTTTGTATAGTTACGAGATTTTAAGTTTTAAGAATAGGAGTAAATTACATATTAGTACATAATAGAGAAATTATAAGAAAATTATTTTATTGTAAGTGAACATAAGCAATGTTATATAGCTATATATTAAGAATACCACGTATATAAACTTTTTAAATGAGACACGTAAAATTAATAAGGTAAACACAAGCAAATGTTGAATTGCAATATTCGAAATAGTCTACGAAGTACTAATAAAATAGTAGCAGCAAAATAAAATAGATACTAAAAGGAAATACAATAAGAATATCATACCTCAATTAAGTTATGTACAGCAAGCACAATTACATCAATCATTGTAATTAATAAATTATAAAATGTTCAGTTTTTATAGCTAAGGATTGCAAATTTAAAACAAAGGTTCTCATAAATAGTTCATACTGTAACCAAAAAATCTAAAAAATATATGAACACAGTTATTTTTTACAGACATTTTAAATTCAAATTTGGACGGAATTACATATTAAAAAAACCTAGAATAACTATTTTAGTTATTTTTTTGTGATTGAATAATATTATTTGTAGGTACTTGAAACTTCTAAAGTGTACTATTATATATCTATGATAGTATCACGGTTTTTGTTGATGTATAACGCGTTATAAGTACCTAATGGATATTGTGATATGATTATTTTGGAATTTATTATAGGTACCTATTACCTATAGGTCAAATTTTGGTTTAGTACCATAGATATGTACCTATATAATATGTCTTATACCTAGACTGACATACCGTCTCCTCTCAGAATCGTTTTTCTTATACAATGATAGTACATCGTTGAATTCAAATTTAATATCATCCACTGTATAGTGACCCACTTGTAACCTACTGTACAGCAGAGCGACACCCACTTGCCCACCTTTTTTTAAACTGAGTTAAGTTAATATATTTCTATATGAACTTTTAACTTATCGAGTTAAATTTATAATTTGTTAACTGCTAACTTTTAATTAATCGATCTTGTGTCCTCTTAACTTAATTTAACTTGAGTTAATTATTTTCATTAACATGCCCACCTTTGTTTATGGACTTAAAACTGGTATTAAAACAAAAATTGACCTATAATGGGTACCTATAATAAATTCTAAATTAATCATATCACAATATCCATTATGTACCTACTTATAACGCGTTATACATCAACAACAAACCGTGATACTATCATAGATATATTGTAGTATACTTTAAAAGTTTCCAGTTACCACGAATAATATTATACAGTCATAACAAAATAACTAAAATAGTTATTCTAAGTTTTTAATATGTGATTTCGTCCAAATTTGAACCTAAAATGACTATAAAAATATTACGCACTGAAAATCGTTAGAATGCTATACGGGGAACAAAATTTGATAATGTACTAGAAAAAATTAAAACTGTTGTAATTGTGCTTGCTGTACATAACTTAATTGAGGTATGATATTCTTATTGTATTTCCTTTTAGTATCTATTTTATTTTGCTGCTACTATTTTATTAGTACTTCGTAGACTATTTCGAATATTGCAATTCAACATTTGCTTGTGTTTACCTTATTAATTTTACGTGTCTCATTTAAAAAGTTTATATACGTGGTATTCTTAATATATATTTACCAAGTAAAATTCAAATTTACATTTTTATGTGTTGTAATAAAAAAAATTTGTATGTTTTCATTAGGCAAGCATATTCGATAATAATTTTATTTCTTTTCTCACATTTATTTTATACATTTTATACTATAATTACAATTATTCAGTATTTAACGTTCTTTATATTTTTTTAACTGACTAACATGTTTGTATTCGTTTACTAACTGTCCGTTTTTAATTATTTCTACTACATAAGTTACATCCGATACTCGTTTCATTATTTTAAGCGGGCCGTTGTACCTGTAAGCAAATTTAGATTTTCTATTTTCGTCTTTAATCAGTACTTTTTCGTTTAATTTAAATTTTACCTGTACCTTATTTGAGTCATAATGCTTTTTATTTTTTAAATATCTGTCAGCTAATAATTTTGGGAGTTTGTCTCGAATATTTTTTAATTTTTCTAATTCCAGTAAAATTTCGGGGGATGTTTCTGTACTTATAAAGTTATGATCAAATATGGATTTTGGATTATATCCGTGTAATAGGTAAAACAGCGTGTTTTTCGTTGTATCATTAATTGCTGTGTTATACGCAAATAGTACATATTTTAAGTATAGACTCCATTTTTTTGGTTGTTCCTGTACAAAGTGGCTAATCATATCTATCAAAGTCCCGTTGAACTTTTCTGTCTGGCCTTGGGTCTGGGGACGGTATGCAATTGAATGTGTGTTATTTATATTTAGCGCTTTTAGTAAGTCTTTCACCAATTTATTTGCAAAATGTAAGCCTCGGTCAGAGTGTATTTCGCCTATTGATCCGAATTGTAAAATTATATCTATTAAATATGCGACCGTCGACCTTACGTCAGCGTTTTTGTATGATTTTGCTATAGCGTATTTTGTAGTTGCGCAAGTTCCTACCAAAATATATGAGTAGCCATTGCTTGGTGGATTAATTGGCCCAATATAATCTATTGTAAATCGTTGAAATGGATAGGTTATTAACCAATAATTTTTGGTGATATTAGCATTTGACCATAGGTTGCTTTTTTATCCGATTTTCTTTTTTGACAACTTATGCATGATGTTACATATTTGCGTACGTCTTTATATATAGTGGGCCAAAAATATCGTTGAATAATTTTATTGGTTGTCTTGTCTATGCCTAAGTGTCCTGATAAGGGGTGATCATGGAAATCGTTTAAAATTTCATTTTTACGGTTGTCTGGTAATGCTATTAAATTTATAGATTGCCCCTTAGCTAAATGTTTATACATGAGTATTTGGTTTTCATTTATAAAATAATTTTTTGATTTTCTTATCCATATATGGGCTGAAAGTTCTGGGTTCTGTATTCCTTTAATAATATTTGCACATGTATCATCTCGTAATTGTTCCAGGTGTATATTAATAGTTTTTACTGTGCAAATTGTCAGTTCACTATCCTTTTGTATTTCTTGTTCTATAGTGGTGGTTCAAACACTGGATTTCGGGACATAGCATCGCATACTTGATTTAAGAGTCCTTTTCTATATTTAATTGTTACGTCGTAGTCTATAATTTTACTTTTTAGTCTCTGAATTCTTGTTGATAGTGATTTAATATTGTCTAAATATTTTAACGGAGCATGGTCTGTCCATATCTCTATGTGTGTGCCGTATACATATGGTCTAAAGGTTTCGAGCGCATATACTATTGCTAATAATTCTAGTTCAATTGCACTACATTTCTTCTCAGTGGCAGTGACACGTCGGGAAATGTATGATACGGGATGTAATAATTCGTCACCTTCGTCCTTTTGTAATAAAAAAATTGCAATTCCTATTTTACTCACATCGGTCCATATGACTATTGGTAGGTTTTTGCTGAAATGTTTGAACAACGGTGGGTTTGTTAACTTTTTTTCAAGTATTTTAAATGTTTCTGTGTGTTTATTTAGCCATTTTACCGGGGATTTTTTTGATTCGAAGTGGCCTCTAGTTAAATCGGTTATAGGCGCTACAAATTCAGCGTATCTTGGTATGAACTTTCTAAAAAAATTACATAAACCTAAAAAACTTCTTGTTTGTTTTATATTTTCTGGAATAGGAAATTTATTTATCGCTGCCAATCCCTCCTCATTTGGCTTGACTCCATATTGATTAACGATTTGCTCTAGTATTTTTAACTCAAAATATCCAAATTTACATTTTTTTGGTTTCAATTTAAACCCTGTTTTTCTAATTCGTTATAATAGTTTTTCTAAAATTATAAGTAGCTCTTCAAATGTTTTTGCATAATTTACGATATCGTCTACATAATTAATGGTGCCCAAATAAAGTAGTCCAGGGAGAGCAGCTTTAGAAAACTGTCTTGGAGAATTTTTATATCCAAATGGAAATGTTGCCCATTCATATAAACCAAATGGGGTGATAAATGCTAATTTATATCGGTCTGTTTTACCCAGTAGAATGTTCAGAAA